CCGGCCGCGCAGCCGCCCAGGTGCGGGGGGGCCGAGAGCGCACAATGCGGAGCCGGGGCCCCTCCCCCCACACTGCAAGGCACCGGAGCGCGCCCCCCCCCGAGCTGAGGGGAGGGGGAGGGGAGGGGTTGTACCCCCTCTGTCTGCCCCCCCATTTCCTCGCCAGCGGCACCTAAGGGTGCTCAGAGAGGGGGCGGGGGAAGCTGTCAGGCCCGCTTGGCAGCGGTGGGTGAGGAGGGGCGAATACGAGCAGGCGGCAGAGGCTGGGGCACATGGCCCACTGCCAAGCGCAGGCCCCAGCATCTGCAGCCGGAGCCAGGCACCCCCAGAGGCGGGTACCGGAGGCTTCGCCAGTCTCCCTCACAGAGAAAACGCCTCATACCAGCAAATCCAGTCTTGTGCAAGGCTCCCTTCAGCCAGCTCCCCAGGCCAGGCGTAGCAGGATCTGCACTGGGGGTGTTTCCAGCACAGCCAGGCAGGCTGGTAAAACTGTAATAGCAGCTATATGCTCAGCCAGCCACAGCTCTGTGTCTGTTTCACTGACCCCCAGTTTATGCTGGGGATATCAAGTGGCTGCAGTGAAGACACAGTTGCTTTCCCATCCCCCCAGCATCAGTCATAGCAGGCTAAGGGCTTTGAGCTGGCCTCCATTTGACAGTTTATTTGACCTAGGGCACCCTTGCTGGTCCTGCCTGGCTCCAGGTGGTGACAAACCTCCGGTAGGCTCCGTTCATCCAAGCCACAAGAGCTGCTGCCTCATCCACAGAGCAGGTGGTCAATCGCCACTGTCCACTGCACACAGGGGTTGTTGTTCACAGGTAAGCAGCTGTGGCTCAGCAGGCACCACTCAAGACTGACAACTAGTAGGTAATACTCATCCGCAGGAGCCCTCCTCGAGTAGAGCCACCACCGAACGCCTCCATCTCCCCTTACCTCTAGCCACCTCATCCTTCCCACTGCTTTCCCATGTGCCTGCTCAGCTTTCCATATAGCTGACAAGCTCTCTGTTATAAAATGAGTAGCTTCCAGGCCTCAGTTTAACACTGAGTGCGATCCCCCTCCTTCCTCTCTTTCTAGGGAGGATGATAGGACTAGGCATCAATCTATTTTCTTCCCATCAGGAAGGACAGTTTGAAAAAGAGTTTACACAAGATAAGAGTAAGCTGACTGATGCCTTAAAGTGATCAACTAAAGCACCCAGCCTCTTCCAGCATCAGTACCCAATTGCAAGGCAAGCAGACAGTGCAACTTGGTGTTTTGGGGGGGTTTCTTTTTAAGAAAGCAAAGTGCCAGTGATGAAATTCTTATGAGACTTACAAAACACCAAGGGCTGCTCGGGCTCTGGCAGGCGGCTGATTCATACAATGTTGACATAACTTGATTTGGTTCTGGGAAGCAGCAGCCAGTACAGCACAGTGATAGGGGAAGTGATGAGGTTTATTATTTCTCTCCCCCTTCCCCCTCTGAAAAACACTCTTGACAATAGAGTACAAGAAGGGAGTCTTAAAACCATAACCCCATGCAGTGTCTGAAGTGTCACTCTTCCAGGAGGAGTGCAGTAATGAAGTGAGATTACAGAGGAGTGACTCAGGGAGAGCAGCTGCCCTAGATTTGGTCCCAGCTATTCCAGAATAAAATTACTCCATTCCATTCACAACCTGGCTTCTTTGCTAACCATAGCTCTCATTTGAAAATCCTGGGAGTTGAAACCATGCCTTCTCCCTGCTTCTACAGCATCTTTATTAGAAGCACTGATGCCAATCAGACCTTAGCAGCCAATAGTAAAGCTACTGAACAAGTGACAATGGACTCATTCTCCTATGACTGCTCCAGTTCTACAGTGTGAACAGAGGCAACAGGATCCACAGCCGGGCCTATGTGAGAGAGGGTTTGACTGTAGCATTATCCTGGCGGGTCCTCCTAAAAGGGGAGAGAGCTTATGCTGGCACAGAAGGGATATGGCCAGTATTACCTGTATGGTTGCCCGAGTCAAATGAACTACAGCTGCAAAAATCACTGTTCTGCCCATTACCCGCATCTAACCCGAGAGATTTTGTCAGAACAGAAACGTTAAAAAAAAAACCAAACGAACAACAATGAACACTCCCTGACTGACTAAACTACTAACCCAGAAAAAACAAACACCTGCCTCAAACATGTGAATTAATTGTGAAACACTGGACAAGCCTAGCTCTTACTGGAATCAAGCAGCTTCCCCATGGGGTATACTGATTTGCACTCATGGTGTGCAAGCTGAGGAAAACAATACCATAAAATATGGCATTCACACTCACTTTTTGACACATATGGGACTACAGTAATAGGAAATCAGCATGCAACACAGGAAAAAACCTACCCAGCAGACTTCATTTTATTTACCTAGGTTATTTCCTGTTTCAATAAAACCAGAGCTGTCTGCCACGTGGGAAGAAAGACTACATCACTTGACAATACAGCATCATGTACAAAGTGAAAGGCCAATGCAAACCCCAGCTATTCAATGACAGGAGAAAAGGTACCACAAATGCCACACAAACAGGAAACTGCAAACATTGAGACACAATAACTTCCTGCCTCTGCTGTTTGCTTGGTAGGGGGATCTTATGGGATAAAGGCTGAGGTTGACACAGCAGCTGTGTACTGCTGTTTCGCACACAGTGTTTTGCTTTGAGCGCTGCTTGGATGGGTGGAGTTGGAGGTTGGAAAGCTTTGGTGAGAAGATGGCCAATTCCACCCCACCCCCAAAACACATACTACTTGAAAGACTACTTCTTCCAGTCCCTGGTGAAGGTAAACTAGGTCTAAGGACCTTTCTTCTAGTCACGCACAGCTATTTCCAGCCATTTCCTTTGGAATGCACCAGCACCAATTAGGAGGGGAAAATATTGCAGCAAATAGGAAACTGGGTTCATTCACATCCATAAGAGGGTCTCTCATTCAATGAAGTCAGCTCATCACTGGATACTTTCCAATACAGGCAAGTCCCCTATGGATGCCTCTTTTGGCAACGTACGGAGGTCAGTCAAAGAGTAAGGCCTCCTGGTTTTTTCCCACCTCAACCTGTTGTACATTTGAAGGGGGTGCTGTCCAACCAAACAATGAAGTTTCCTCTGTGATGCAAAAGTTGGTGTATGGGCAGTCATTGCCAGGCAGACACAGCATCTCAAATGCATCTCTGTTGGGCTCTTTGCATGCAAAATTTCAGCTTTTCCAGGGTCTGATTACAGACCTCTGAGTTTAGTGTGGCTGTCTTAGGTAAGACATCAACAAGAAAACCTTCCATGTCGGTGGCTTAGGAGATAAAAATGTGAATGCCTTACTTTCTCACTGCCCCTCATATTTATACCAGCAAAAGCCATTATTTATATACAGATGTAATAGTACATGCACTGAGAGAACTGGTATACACTATACATGCAAAAGCACTATTTTACCAGCAAAGACTACTTTTGCAGTAGGAGCTCTTGTCCATACAGCTACAACTACACCTGTGTCCCTGGGTAAAGCCCTTTCAAGCCAGGTTTCTAATGAGCTGCACACTCAGTAAAGCCCTGGTGAAATGTTAGACTGCCAAGTGTGGGACTCGTGTGACAGTTGAGAGAGGTGGTCATGCTGTTACACAAACAAAAGCACACACAAACATTTTATACCCAGCAAAACAAGTTGAAGCTGCAGCATTTTCAAGGCACATTCTGAACAAAGTTCTGACCCTGTATCCTAACAGCAACTTCCATGGTATCTTCGCACTAATAGTAGCCAGCAAGTATGGCAACTGTGTAACAGGAACAGGACTTCAGAGAGCAGCACAGATAGAGCACCAGTTTGTGGCTGCCTAAGATTAAAATAGTTTGAAGTAGGCACCACAAACACACGCTTCCTAAAGCCTTATTTTGGTGACGTTCCTTGTAGGTTTCATTCAACTGAGCCTCTACAAAGTGGGTCAACTCATTTTGTGTCTCCAGCATTAGAACAATCCAAATGTTACTGGATATAGTATGCTTTAAAAGAAAGAGTGCAGGAAGGATATATACATTAGACTTAAAACACCTGGACATCCACTTTTTAAGATGTGATAGAAGTTTTAAACATGTTAAAGGAGACTCAAGGACTTTGCACAGGACAGCAAGGACAGTACGATCAGTGGTGGTTCAGAGGTAGCCTGGCTGCCTTCCTGGAACCTTGTTGGCATTTGTTTGCTAGTGAATGGAAGGATTGCCTTGTAAATTAGTGAGGTATCTCTGCTCTCACTTAAATCAATTGTCTGTCTCAAACCTCCCAGAAGTGGGGAATGCTAATGTCAAACCAGAGCACCGAAAAAGAGCAATTCCTTCTGTGCCATTTCTAAAAACATAACCAACATTTTGGAGCTAGGTTATTCAATTTTTAATCTTGCACTGAACTGTAGCGACACCCAGAGGCCATTTCCAACACTACAGATTACAAATATACAATTAATTCTTTATTCTAAATCAAATAATCTGCAATGTCTAGTTAACCTTGTTCAGCA